TTGTGTTTCTTTTGGAACAGAGAGTTAAATATCCTGGTGTATTCAAATGGCATGATCCTGAAATGTGTGCTCGATCAAAGAATGTTATCCCTAGATTGATAAGAAGAATTTACTGTTTGAAGGATGAATTGGTTAGCTATAAGGAAAAAGGAGATATTATGAAAAATGAAGAAGATATGATGGCAAAGCAAGAAGATACGATGGCAAAGGAAAAGAAGTCCTATGAAAGAAAAATAAAATAAAAATTGGAGAATTTAATTGTCCAGTACAACAATAGAATGAAGATCTTGAAAGTTATTTTGATTGTCTTAGGTTATTTTGTCATTGTATTGATCAAAATTAGTGGTTAGAATTTCCAGTGGTTAGTTTAGTGAATAAGATGTAGTTGTTTGTGGTTCCAGTGTTGTTTTTTTGTTCAATCTAATGCAAGTTTGAGTAGAAGAAATTAAGGATTTGGAAAATTGAGCATTTGGATTTCAAGAGAGAATTAGGGCAAGTTGTGTCTACCTGTAATGTGTGATCTGGACGTTATGAGGGGGAGTGAGGAGGTGATTTTGTGTGTCACGTGTGTCGCACGTGCGATTTTCCGTCCATACTAACTGGACAAATGGACGGAGGGACAGAAACAGCGTAAAAGTGACATGTTTAGGGACGAAAATTGTAACTTCATCTTGTTTAGGGACGGAAATCGTGTAAGTGCCAAAGTATAGGGACGAAAAGTGTAATTATCCCTAATGTTTGCACAATAATTTTTGATTTTCATTGCCATGAACTTTCAGTACCGCGGATTTCACAACGAACATGACAACAAACAAAATTCGTTGCGAATTATATTGGCAACGGAATTTTGTTCTTCCAACAACAAAATATTTCGTTGTCAAATATAAAATTTCTTGTAGTGGATAGACACTGTACTTCATTTGGATATGAAATTTTCCTCTTAGAGTTACCATTGAAATCTTTTGCTTTATATTTATGCTACTTGTTTTTAGATTAGCAGCCTTAATTTAAACCATGAGGAAGTTAAAAAAGAGTCAAATGACACGATGAGGACTCGATTGATGCTTCACGTTATTGTAATGTCCTCATAAAACTGCAGCTTATATATACTGTTTAATGATCCATGATACACAAAACTCACAAAAATTGCACATGTATTATCTATATATGACATAAATATTTTGAATATATAAGATACTGGAATAATTACACTTTTGGTCCCTCATGTTTGACCCAATTTCACTTTTGGTCCCCCTTGTTTTAAAGTGAACAAAGTTCACCTCCAAGTTTCAATTTTGAACACTTTTGGTTCCCGCCGTTACATGTCCGTTAGCAAGTAACAGAAAACACTATTTTGGGGCGAAAATTAAATTTTTAAATTTTTTTGGGGCTGAAAAATAATTAGAAATTTAAAATAGACTATTTATAATTAAACTTTTAATAGTATAATGAACTTTATTTAATTCATTTATTTTTTATTATTAAAAAATAATCATAAGTAGTATAATGAAAACTAATATTAAGTACAATGCAATATAATTTATTTAGTTAATTTCTTTTTTATTATTAAAAAATAATTATAAATAGTATAATTATAATAATATTAAGTATAATTATACATGATTTGTTCAGCTAATTTTTTTTATTATTATTTTTTTATTATAAGTAGTATAATTAAAAATACTATTAAGTATAATTAAAAATAACTTGTTTAGTTAATTTATTTTTTTATCATAAGTAGTATAATTAAAAATAATATT